AACCCATTTCCTTCTATTTGGAGGATCATTTGTACCTCACACTGATGAGCAATGAAATCTTGTTATCTGTCGTTTCGAAAAAAATATATAAAAAAAAATCCATTAATCAAGTTAGCCAACACAATCAGCTAAGGTGAATATCAATTATCAAAGTTGCCCACAACTTTATCATAGTGCACTATTGAATATTGAGGAACCAAATTAGTTCGCAACTTAGACAACTTCAGAACACTTTACGTTAAAATATATGTTGTTTAATTAAATATGACCCAAGTGACATGAAAATAACTCTGCACTATTATATATAACTAGTACGTACCCCGTGCGATGCACGGGACAGAAATATTAAATTAGGCTTTGTCCGTTCAAGTATATAAAGCAATAGGGTTATCATCTATTTTCCACCTCTTTTAATCAGCGTTATGTGTAGTAAACAATAAGATTACAACCTATTTGTTCAATCAGCATTGTTTTTTAGTCAAAACATTAAATATGAGCATGTTAGGGCTAACTTGTAAAATAATAAATATATTATCTTACTAACACATTTATACTAATATAAATTTGATTTTAGTATATATATTTATTCCTAGATATAAGAGAGAATAACAATTTTACTTATTCTTGTTCACCATATAATACTTAATTATTATTTTATTATAAACATTGTTGTCATATAATGTCATTATTATTTATAAAGTTATAGAAATTGTACGTCTTCTTTTTCCTTTTATTTTAAATAATGAAAAATATTTAATGCACGTTAGTATTATTTATTTATGTAATCAATTTAAAATATGTAAATAAATTTAAAATTAAATAGTGTATAAATATTTTACAAAATATCCACATGTTATTTTAGAATTTAATTTTGTATACTAATTAAACAACTTTGATAACTTTGATTTAGAAAATGCTAAAAACTCAATCCCTTCTATGGTCAAGATTTTTCTAATTCGCATTATAAAGATTTATAGTTTATTTAGCATACTCTGCAATGAAAATATATTTTACAAGAATTTAATTATAGAAATAAATCAAAATAAAAAAATAAAAAATAAAATAATCATGGGTGCCAATAGTATACAAATAAATTCTAAAATATAGTTAATACATTTTAATTTTAATTTTTTACCATTAGTAAAACTATTTAATGTATCTGGTCATTATCTCTTAAATGGTAAATTATAAGAACAGTTTATTTTTTATATTTAACAAAATAAAGCTTAAGAAAAAAATATATTGGCAAAGATTAATTCACCAACTTGATTTTGTCTGATTACTTGAAAAAAAAAATTCTACCTAACCTGTTACGATTTTCCATAAATATTTTTGAATAAAAAGTGAATATTTGTGAAAATTAATATTATGGTTAGAACTTAAAATATGGTGTAATATTTATCTTGACCAAAATATTATCAACATGGATCATGGAAATAAATCTTGTAATTTATTATAATGAATATCAATGAAAGTATTACAAATATTAATAAAATAATATTTATGTTGACCAAATTATTATCAACATGAATCACGGAAAATCAATCTTGTAATTTATTATAATAAATATCAATGAAAATATTGCAGATATTAATAAATTTATTTGAGTAATCTTTTGATCATATCTTATTTGATCTTATTTGAAAACGTGTATATGGAAGCAATTAATGCATATATTTAAAAAGTTTCTAGAAATAGTTTGCATTTAATGTTTTCTAAATTTTTGGCTACTATTTTTAGATGGTAATTCTTATTATATATACACTAGTACAGATCCCGTGCGATGCACGGGGTGTACAAAATTAAGGCTATTTATCAAGTTTTATAATTATATAAATGAATAAAGAAAAATGTACAGGATATATATAGTACGTGACCTGTAATAGGCCAAAATGTGAACACGGATGATGCACGGGGTGCACAATTTTAAGGTCATTTATTAGTACAGAGTCTGTGCGATGCACGGGGTGCACAATTTTCTAGTATGTGTCATACAAATACATATCGTATGCACGGGACAGAAGCACTAAATGAGTTATTTCCACATAGCTTGCCGGTTAAGTAGCTCCTGAACACGGGTGCACAATTTGTAGTACGTAATATAAAATCAGAACAGATTTCCATACAATTAGATAATAAATTAGATAATAAATAAAGCCTTTTTATTTTAATAAAGATTTTACGTACTTTTTTTTACTTATCGGATGTTATGGGATTTTTTTTGTTAAACCGATTTTATCGGATATGATACAAATACAATTAGAGGATTACACAAAATCAGAACAGATTTCTATACAATTAGATAATAAGAATGAATTAGATAAGGAAAAAAAAAAATTAGATAAAGAATTTTGAATCTACCTTTTCTTAGTATAGATAGACTTTACGTACAAATTTTGACTTCACCGATTTTATAAGATTTGTTTTGACAAAATCAAAGATGAATACTGAAGACTGTTTCTATTAACATTTACAATGTGTATTTAATGTTTTTTTTGGCAAAATATTCTTTTTAAGTGTGATATATAAATATTAAAAATACTTAAAA